TGTAACTATGTCTTGGATGGTCTACAGCAGTTAATAAAAGTCCACGAAAATGCCGGAAATATAACACACATGATAATCCACAATTGAGGAGGATAAAAACTTGGAGGGATCAAGGAATGTTCTGTAACAGATGTGATGCTCATATTTCAAGCTATGGAGGTACAATTCAGAGAGAGGGACTCCTCTCCAGACAGCTTGTACTCACTGTGACGGTGGTGATACAATCAACCATACTAATTAATTTGTTGTTGAATGATTCAACAAATGGGTTCACCAAATGCAGTAGGAAACTCCGAAAAGGAGGCATATCAATTCTTTAAGTAGCCCAGTTCAATCTTTGTGTGGGTTTTAGAGGATGGTCTAAGAACACACAGCAACATGTCTCAATATTGCCACCTGCTGCTAAGTCCAGATTCAAACAGCCAGCTCCCCAAAACAATATACTGCTCACATTTTCTCTGCTTGAGAAACAGACTCATGAATTCCAAGTAATTGTCTCAAACCCCTAGGCAAATTACAGGGTATCAATTGAGTTACCAGAATCATGAGACAAAGGCATTGGGGAACTTGTTCTCAGTGTGGACAGTTAGGGGTCGTTACAGCTTACTGGACTCAAACTTTGGAAGCTATATTGACCAATAGATTTTCTGCACATTTTGCTCTAAATATTGTATCCTCAGGATTAAGAACAGTGCCTGTCACAGAGAAGTTGCTCAATAAATATTCACTAAATACAGGAATGCCTAAAAATGGAGATAATTACTACTGTGGATTTACCACACTGCTTACTCAGTGACTTTGGTGGTGGTGGTGGTGGTGGTGTGTGTGTGTGTGTGTGTGTGTGTGGTGTGTGTGATGATGGTGGTGGTGTGTGTATATGTATGTGTGATGGTTGTGGTGTGTGTGTGTGTGTGTGTGTGTGTGCGCGTGATGGAGGTGGGTGGTAGTTATGGTGATGTGTGGGTGTAAGGGGTGTAGTGTTGTGTGGGTGGTGGTAGGTTAGTGGTAGGTGTGTGTGGTGATGGTGGTGTGTAGGTGAGGGGTGGGGTGTGAACAGTAGGGGTGGTAATGGGGGTGGTGTATAGGCACATGTGTGACGATGGATGTGTAGAAGTCAGAGGATGTCAGGCTTCCCACTCTGTCACTCTCTGCCTCATTCCCTGAGAAAGGGTCTCTCAAGGAGCTAAGCAGTCAGCCACCAAGCTCCCATTACCCTGCTATCTCTGCCGTCCACAATGCTGAAGTTCCAGGTATGCACAGGACTATGCCCAGCTTTTTGTGAAGATCCTGGGATCTGAACTCCTAACATTTGTGCAGCAAGTGCTCTTACCCATGAGCCACCTCTCCACCCCCTCAAAAAGTGCATTTTAAACCAAATAGCTCACGTTTTAGTAAGCTGGCATTCACACATCCCAGTGACTCATTTGCCCACAGCACCGACATGTTCTGCTTACTGGCATTTGACATAACATGAATAATTTCAGCTGATGAGTTTGTTTACTGAGATAGTAATTTACATCTCTGTGGGGAAAGAGCTCTCCAGCAGAGACTTCTTTGTCCCTACAGCACTAACAGGGATGCTTGCCTGCATGCCCTCTCACTCCTCTCTCTTGAATACCAAGAATGAAGGACCTGACCTCTCTAGAAGGCCACCTTTCTCAATGTGGGCTCTGCAGCTAGCAGTCTTCCCAATCAGAGGTTTTGTCACCTCATGAGACAAAAGGCAGGCCTGGTTACTGCTTTCTATAAAACAGCAGATTCCCTGAGTGGAGAGTCTTCTCCTCACCCCTTCCTCTGTGGGCCATCACCCATATCGGAATTGGGACACACAGAGCTCATTTGCATGTCACCCAGCTACTGTTTGGCTGCTGAGTCATCATTAAACACTGACCCAAAACCTACGCATCCATGAAAGGATAGCACCAGAGCCTGAAAGTCTGGTAAACCAAGTCCTCAGTGCTTGGGAGCATGACTTCACCTAAAAAACACAAGTGTGTACAGCAAGGAAACCCAGCAACCTCCAGACATGTCACCGGCAATTTTCAATGGGAAAAATATAGTGTTTATGAGATAAACAATTGATGACATAAATTAAACACTATGCCACTTGCTAGTACACACAGAAATTCTAGCCTAGAAAATTATTTTAAAGACTTTTGATATTATAATATTAAAAAAAAAACCCATCCCTCTAGAGATTTACTGATGAGCTTCCTGCCAAGGTTGGGTAGAGTGGTAAGGAATAGATAGATAGATAGATAGATAGATAGATAGATAGATAGATAGTTTTTTTTTAATTTGAAGAATCTAAAATATGAATCAGGAGGGGAAATACCACTTGAAAGTCATAAGAGGAGTTTGGTTCTTAGCTTACAGAGACTTACACTTTACATAATGTCATTGTTTCTTTTACCTTGATAGCATAGAAACAATTCATGTGGATGTATAACTAACCATCCACTCTATAAACACGGGCATTGGCCACACCCCAATTCCCATATCCATCACCCTTCACACTGAGTTGCTAGTTTTTAATTTGGATATTATTTCCTTAAATAAGAAAGAACTTTAAGCCTTTCTGAGTATCATCTGGCCACAAACTAGAGCACGGGTCAATGTCACCTGACTTTATAAGTTGAATAGCTAGCATGCTGTGGCATCAAGCGATGAGATGACACAGAGGATCTAGGAATCTGTTCTCTGGGATTAAGAAATATGAGAGTTCTGTTCCCCAGACAAGACTTGCATTATTGTATGAGATTCGGAAAGTATCCACTCTGGACTTTCCCCCTCCCTTTCTCCTTCTTGTCTTCCTCCTCCTCTCCCCCACCAACTCAGCTTCTCTAACTTTTACAAGTTCCCTCGGGGCCGGAGAATAAAGTCAGATGATGAATAACCATGTCAAGATATCAAAGAATGACTGTAGGGAAACCAAAACAATTAAAGTACAAGAGAAAGGAGGGAAAGCATCTACATTTGCAAGGCTGTGCACTATGTGGCTTCTGATAGAAGGATTGTTTTATACAAACACATTCTACTCTGCTTTCCCTTAGTACCAGTACCAGTTGACTTGAAACAGCTAACTCATTTGGTAGATTAAAGGTGTGATGGAAACTTTAAAACCTTGCACCTAAAAGTTGGGCTGCTAAAGAGAAAGATAACGGGTAATTAGCATGTACTAAGTTCAGTTCCTGTGTGAAAACAGTAAGATTCCCCCAAAATTCAATTAGCCAAGGAGTACTTCTTTAATAGGTCTACTGTAAGTCCGTCCTCTCTCTCTTAGAATTTTGCTACCCACATTCTCAAAGGTTTCTTGTACTATACTCAGAGTGCCAGTGTTGGGATTTCAGAGCATGCGCAGTATATTCAAGCTTCCAGGAGCTTCCCCTCATCCTCTGCCTTTTATCTTGTCTACCTTTAAATTGATGATATGTAACTGGTTAAACAATTCCAGTGTAGTGTCTGGAGGTCTATGTGACAGTGTCAAAGGTTAAAAATCTTCCAAAGAGTTCTTTGACTATTTGTGTTTGTCTTACTTGTTCCTTGACTATTTGCATCTATTGTATTGCTAGATCCTCAAACTAGAACTGACCTTAATACATGCTTGTAATTAAAATGGTATAAAAGCAAAAAAGAGGATTGGGATAGGGGGTTCTAGGGAGGGGAAATGGGGAAAGGGGATGATATCTGAAATGCAAATAAATAAAATATCCAATAAAAAACAGTAACACACATATATTAAATAGCTTAAGTACTGGGTGCTTAAAATATAGAATAAAAGCATCACGTATTGAAAAAAAAATCTCCCAAATAACATCACCAGCCACACATACTGAACACCACCTGTGAGCATAAACAACAGCAATACATTGCTCATGACTCTGGAGGCTGGAAGGCTGAAGTCGGGAAGCAAAGGGGTTCCATTGTGATGAGGGCCATCTCCTGGGCTGCAGACTATCCTCTTGTACTCTCATGTAGTGGCAGAAGATGAGGTGGAAATCCTATTCCACTCTCTGACCTAAGAACTTCTTACTGACAAGTCACAAGCATTACCACCCCCAGGAGCACCCGCTTCAACAGTGAAGGCGTTTACTTAGCCAGGAGATAGTCAAGAAGGCCCACTGATGGTCTGTGTCAAGGCTCCCTCTTGCTTTACTTAAAAACGTAAGACCAAGGCAGACTATCTGATGTGAGGCAGGTTCCGACCTTAGGGCTGGCTTCATATGTAAAAGACATAATATACATGCATCTCTACTTAATAAACAAGAACAAAAGTAGATCAGGGATGTACCTCAATTGGTAGCGTGCTTGTTGAGTATGCACAAATTTCCGGTGTTATATAAACTAGGTATAGTAATGCATGTCTGCAGTCCCAGCACTCAGAAGACGGACATAGAAAAATCAGGTCAAAACCATCCTTCACTACATTGGGAGTTGGTTGCTAGCTTGAACTACTCTTTAAAATAAACAACAAAAGGGCATATTGGTAACACTGGTAAGGTTTCTTTTTAACTGAATATATTTTATAATATTTGCTCATCTATGTGAGAAGCATTTTAAAGTAGGGAAGAGTGTCTCTCACAAACAGACCAATAATAGCTCTAAAATGAAACCATTTAAAAGTTATTTTCTTGTTATTGCTTATGTCTTTAGTTTTTTGTTTTATAAGACAGGGCTCACTATAGAACTGGCCTGGAACAAGTAGACCAGGCTAGCCTCAAACCCACAGCTTCCTGAGTGTTAGGGTTAAAGACACCTGGCTTTGGAGTTATTTTAAAAATTAACTTGTTATACATCAAAACATAATCTCTTAGTTTCGAAAAACAACTAATAGCTATATAGGAATATGATTTTTTAAAAAACCCTTCTGTGCTTCCTTCAGTTTGTTAGCTTTCCCACAGAGAGTTAGCCTTCTGTGACAATCCATGGCCTGCTAACATAATAGGTCTCTTATTGGTTAGACTGGGAACCTATGATTGCCATCTTGGCTTCACACTGACCTCGTGAGCACTGGTAAAAAAGTCATTTGCCATTGTTAGCCAGGCTTTCCTTTCCACCATGAGTCGTCCAAACTCTTCCCGAAGCCGATTCAGTTTCTGGTTAGAGAGCTGTAGATGTTCCTTCTCTGCCAAGTCCTTTGTCAGTAGAATCCCCAGAGCCTGGCTCTTCAGCTTCTCTATGGCCGAATCCCATTCCTACAAGAGAACATTCTCTTTAGTGAGTGTTCACAGACCCTGTCATGAATCGTATGTTTATCTCTCTGTCCTCAAATCCAAATGCTGACATAGAATCCAAAAATTTGATGGTTTTAGGAGATGGAGCTTTGGGAAGTCATTAGGTCAAAGGGTAGAACCTTTGTTCTAAAAATAGTATTTCTACATCACTTTCTGCTACGTGAGAACACAAGGGGAAGAGAAGTTAGTCTGCAACCCAGGAGAGAGCCCTCATCACAGTGGAACCCTTATCCCTTCCCAGTCTCAGCCTTCAAACCCCCAGAATCTTCCAGAATCATGAGGGATGCATCAGTACTGTTTGTCAGCTTTCCTGTCTATGTGACTTCAAGTTATAGAAACTGGAACTAAGACACCCACTTGAAATCCCTGATAAGACTTGGGGACGTATATCCAAAATCTGTCATTATATTTTTCAATCATAAAATCTAATAAGCCATGTAGAAGTTAATGCTATCGTGTGGGTTTGAATACCAATATGCAGTCACAAGAGAAAGGGGTACAGAAAACAGGCACCAGAAGAGAGTGAGGGGTGGGGGGAAGGGCAGAGTGACTGACAGATCGCCCTATATGCCGGTCACATCATTTTCTGTTACCATTACCTCTATGCTCCCGTTACCCGCACCTCTAAACGAACACATCTCTAACTCATTTTGTCTATTTGAATTCGCTCAAGTGTAAAAAGAGTATCTACCCCACAATTCAGGCTCCTTGACAATGGAGCAAATATGTACAACAAGGAAAGAGAAATCGAATGTCTATGGCTCTTGTTTTTGTGTTAGCCTAAACAGAGAGATTGAGATTCATTGCTCATTGTAAAATAAATACCCCTCATCATGCAGTGTTTTCTTCTTGGTTCCAGTTTTACATATTAATGCTTCACACTCGATGATGTATAAGCATGTCAGAAAACGAAGTCCCTTTCTACTCTATGTGACATGAGGATTAAAAATGCAACCAATAGAGAGAGAAAAGAAATACAACTTGGAATAAACCAGTATTTCTGTTAATTTCTTGAGGAAGTTCAAGTTCCTTGAAATTGGAATGTTGCCAGATTCAGCCTCATAAAGCAATAATTACCTCTAAGATGGCTGCCTTGGTGTGTTTTTTGACACCGATCTCAAATGACATTGAGCAAAGCACAGGGCAGTTCAGGAAGCATAAGAAATGTAACATCAGACTTCAAACATCTCAGCCTGGCTCTGTCCTGGCATATCTGCTATGCAAAATGTCCTGTTATTAAATTACATTGATTATACTGTGTTGTATAAATCAAGTCTAGTTTTGGGGTTAGATGCCATTACAATTTCCATTACTCTCATACGACACGATGAATACTACATGCATGCCATAATCTAGGACTGTAATAAGGATTAAATGTAGCTTCACTCTTTTGTAATATGCAAATTGACATTTAATACAACTTCCTATATTCTCTCATTATGAAATGTATTAAGTATGCATACACAATATGGTAGTATTTTCAGTGACAGTGAGTGGGCCTGAAAGGTAGAAATTGTACATACTCTCTTGTAATGCCCCGGGAACCAGTTTCAGTATTTATTCAACAGAAAACTATTTATGATTGAGGGATATGAAAATAAGGATGGTCAGTTAAGGGGTTAGCATTGGGGGTGGGAGGAGTGGGAAGAGCCTGCTTTAAATTTGACTTGTGACTATAATCTTCAAAAATCCTCATCTTGGCTGTGGGTTTTTTTTTTGCGGAGGAGGGGGGTTATTATTGTTTGTTTGTTTTGCTTTTTTTCCAGTGTTTGTACAGGCACAGAAAAGTATGTTCCACATGTTGACAAAGTAGGACCATAGGGGCTAGTTTGTGGGTCTCTGTACCTTGCTACCTTTCAGGGAATTGAGGATAACAGATCCTAAATTCTCCAAAATTCTCCCTGACTAGAAAAACTTCGCTCATAGACACAGGCTCTGTGCTACACACATTCTAAAAACTTTAAAAAGGATCTTTGTGTCCCCACTTGAGCAGAACTGTATTTCACGGCATTCATCTCTAAAGCATGATAAATAGCCCTCGTGCTTCAAAACCAGCAAAGACATGTTGAGAAAGAACAAGTGTTCTCGGAGTGGCAGTCTCCCTCATATCCTCACTGAGTATGGCCGTACTTTCTTCCAACAGCTCTGTTGTGGCCCCTGTCACCTAATCGTTGATCTTCATGAGTGAGTTTCCCTTTTTCCCCAGTTCTGAGCTAAGGGTGATGGGATGTTCCTCAAATATTATTGGGTAGCATGAGTATTTAGGGGAACAAGATTCTGTGTCTCGGCAGTTCTCAAAAGCCTGCTATGCTGATGTGTGCCAAGACCTTCCTGGAAGGTAATGTCACTTGAAATATCTGGGTAAATGTTCTTGACAAAGGAACCCTTTGTTTGTTAATCATTTCAGGAGACCAATTGTCCAGGTAAAATAGTGTTGGGAAACATACCTGTGGTTAAGAGGCCCCAAACTTCCTACTGGTTTGCCTGCTAACCCAACTTTTCCTGTTTCTTTTTCTTCTTTTCTCATTTCTTTCCATTTGTTTATGTATGCATATGTGGTGTGCTATACATGTATATTATTGGTATCTTTTGGCATGTATGAATACACATGTGTAGGCACACAACTGTGAGTATATGTGGAGGCCTGTGGTTGAGGAGAAGGATTATTTTCAGTCTTCTACTTTATTCATTGAGATAGGGTGTATCAATCAAACCTAGAGCTCACTGATATCATGGCTGTTGCTAATGAGTCTGTTCTATGGGTCCACTCTCTGCACTTCTTAGGCTGCAATTACAGGCCACTTATGTTCAGTTCTGGGGCTCGAAATTCCAGCCCCATGCTTGCTTGAAATGCACTTTAGCTACTGAACCACCTCTTCAGGCCTCTTCTTTCTTCGTACATTTAACGACCCACTTGACCCATCTCAAGCCTTTGTGCCATTATTGCTGCAACCTGTTAAGATCTTGAACTAATTAATCTTGAACTAAGGTGGAGAAATACTTAAATGTATGAAGATGCAGAATAAAACAGGTAATTTTTTTTTTGTAATTGGCATTGACTAGAACGTCCTGCATTTGTTAGCAAGGAGAGATCCTTCACGCATGCAAAAGCTGGAGATTTCTTAGCATGCTGTGTGTAAGGAAAACGCAGACAAAAATCAGAATATGGAGAAATGGTTCATAGCCATTGTGCTTGGTAGCTTGAAGCTTTGAGATGGTGTAAAACTTCCAAAAAAGGGCTCACCACTGCCTCTCCTTTATTTGGTAGCACTGTGCTAACCACTTTTCATGTACCATTTCACTTAATTTTCACCTACCCTGACAAGGCCCCAAGCTGTTATCCACATTCTAACCACAGGGTTAGAACTGACAACTGAGAGGAATTACACACTTGCCAAGTTTCTCATCACCAGTAAGAAAAGGACTCAGAATCTATACTTGGGATGGTACCCATGATCCGGTTGAGGCTGCTCACCTGAAGATGGGTATCTGAGTCAGGGTACCATCCCCACCCCAGCTCTTTTCAGAGCATGATACACCATTTCCTCATCATCACAGAAGAACTTACCAATTATTTGAGAGAGCTGCTATGGTTAAACTTCCATAGGGCCCTGATGAGGCCCCCGTGATGATAAAAGCATTTCACAGAACAAATGCTGTATCTATATCTATTATAGATATAATCTATCTATCTACATAAATATAATAAAAGATTTATTGCCCAAATAGTAATTTCACTTTACCAGTTGGACAAAATAATAAATCTCTTTTCTATAAATAAAGAGAAGAAGGTCTGTTCTTTATAAACTACTTATAAGTATGCCTCTAGGGTAAAATTTGGAAAACACATGAGAGAGAATATTCCAGCACAGAGCTAAGTGTGTGCACACCCCACCACCACCACCATAAACACACACACTGTCACTTGCTATTTTGAATCCTACTAGAAAGAGTGGTCTCTGACCTTCTGAAGAAACTCAAAGAACCAGGTTCAGCCACTTATCTGTTTTCATTCTTAATTACATTCTTACTTGAACTCTGTGGACATTAAATGAAGCTGGGCACATTCGCTATTCTATTCAATCTTCTCCAAAAATTGGCTGTTTTCTTTGGGCAATCTGCAGGCCCTTTCTGCTGGGCTTCTACACCACTGCAATGATGTATTTCCCCAGGCATTTTTCTGAGGGGACATTTTAACTGTTTTATTATTATTTTTTTAAGATAGAACTTTCTAGAGTCATCTGAATCCATCACACTTTTAAAAAATATATAGCTGTCAACCTTGTCAAGGCTGGAGGAACACAACTGAGAAACTCTTGAGTTCTTTTTCGCTGAGCCATTCCTTCTGTCTCCTATGTGTTAAACTTCTTACAGGGTTTTAGTCACTTTGCAATAAAACATTTCCAGTGTATGCCCCCACCAGCAGAAGCCAAGGTCTGCCATTTCCCTGGCTTTCCAATTAGAAAGAAGCACGTGCATATTCCTGGCCCAATGAAGCCGAGTGACAGTATATCAGGGTGTCTCTCTGGGTCATTCCGGTATTTTCATTTATCACTCACAGTAACCCTTTTAAACTGGACCACTCAGTATTCCATTTGCCGTAGAAATTGTCCTTTCTCTGGGTCCCCGTGATGGAAAAAGAACTTTAAAAGGGGATTAAGTACGGCTAGACAAGAAGGGGGGAAGATTACTTTCCTTTTCTTTCCTTTCTTTTTGTTATAGTCCTAGGCTAGATCTTCAAATGAAGTTATAGATTGCCATTAAGTAGGTTCAAAAAGGAAAACCCGTTTGCGAGTCCAATTTGAAAAGCAAAAGAAGTAACACGTGCAGCGTGTTTAATAAGCTTTTCTTCACACAAAACTTACCTGCAGTGGAGAAGGTCTAATAATTCAACACCTTATGGTGCACTTTCATCCCGTGCTTGATATCAGAATGTAATTGTTCGGGGATACGGACAAATT